TCCCACCCCACACCATTCCCTCTGCCAAGTGTGGCCTTCAACTCAACTCTAGGTAGTCATCAACCACAATAATCCTGTACGCAGGTAATTAACAACTATAATCCTCACTCTCTATAATCTTCCACCTGCATTTGAATCACCCAATATCTATACAATCATTGATGAGTGAAACGTAAGTATTCACTTAACTGTAAGTGTATTTACTTTACAGCAGATGTGGAGCAGGAGGCTGGTGTGGGCTGCGGTGTGGGCGGCGGTGTGGGCGGCGGTGGTGGTGGTGGGCGCCCACGGTACATTCTTCAGGAGCAGAGGGCGGCAGAGGCCCATGTGCTACCCGATGTACAAGTACATCACCGTGTACCAGACGGAGACTGTACAGGTGTGTACTTAACTAATTGCCTAATTTACCTAATTGTGCTTGCGGGGGTTGAGCTCTGACTCTTTGGTCCCGCCTCTCAACCGTCAATCAACTAATGTACAGGTTCCTGAGCCTATTGGGCTCTATCATATCTACATTTGAAGCTGTGTATGGAGTCAGCCTCCACCACATCACTTCCTAATGCATTCCATTTGTCAACCACTCTGACACTGAAAAAATTATTTCTAACGTCTCAATGGCTCATTTGGGCACTCAATTTCCACCTGTGTCCCCTAGTGCGTGTGCCCCTTGTGTTAAGAAGTCTGTCTTTATCTACCCTATCAATTCCTCTGAGAATCTTGTATGTGGTGATCATGTCCCCTCTAACTCTTCTGTCTCCCAGTGACGTGAGGTTTAATTCCCGTAGTCTCTCCTCGTACTCCTGCCTGTTTCTCCAGCTTATGCATCAGCCTTTTATGGGGGACTCTATCAAAGGCTTTCCGACAATCCAAAAAAAATGCAGTCCGCCCATCCTTCTCTTTCATGCTTAATCTTTGTCACCTGATCGTAGAATTCTATCAAGCCTGTAAGGCAAGATTTACCCTCCCTGAATCCATGTTGATGGGTTGTCACGAAGTCTCTTCTCTCCAGATGTGTTACTAGGTTTTTTCTCACGATCTTCTCCATCACCTTGCATGGTATACAAGTTAAGAACACTGGCCTGTAGTTCAGTGCCTCATGTCTGTCACCCTTTTTGTATATTGGGACTACATTAGCCGTCTTCCATATTTCTGGTAGGTCTCCCGTCTCCAGTGACTTACTATACACTATGGAGAGTGGCAAGCAAAGTGCTCCTGCACACTCTTTCAATACCCATGGTGAGATTCCGTCCGGCAACCACGCAACCACAGCTTTTCTCACGTTCAGCTCCATTAGGTGCCTCTTGACATCATCTTTTGTAATTTCGAACCCTTCCAAGGTCGCCTGGTTTGCTGCCACCTCTCCTAGCGCCGTGACCTCTCCTTGTTCTATTGTAAAGACCTCCTGGAACCTCTTGTTGAGCTCTTCACACCCCTCTTTGTCATTCTCTGTGTACCTGTCCTCACACACACACTGTTGTAATCCACAAGTTAGTAGGAATTATTAGCTAGAGGATCATTACTACAACACTTAACGAATGATGATTGGAAGTACATGTTAAGTAGACAGACTATGGATCACATATCTAAGAAAGGTCAAGGGATTAAGACCACAGCTGTAGCACATTACTCTAGGCCCATCTGCCCAGAGTGTGTCCACCTATATTCACACCTTCCCGACCGCTGTACCTGCAAAATATTCCCTCGAAGCCCCTTGGCTCGATCCCATTATTACATGACACCCCCTCGGCTCCTTACTCTCTCCCCATATATAGCCTGAGCGCAGCTGCAAAGCCATTGCAGCTGGCCCTTATCCCTGCTTTGATGTCAGGGGGCGGGTGGGGTTGGCGGGTGGATGGAGTCACTTTTGGGTCTTTGTTTGGAGGACGGGCTGATGCATAATTCAGCCCGTCCTCCAAACAAAGACCCAAAGTCCATTCCATCCACCCGCCAAACCTCAGCTGTTTATGAATGGAAAACTGTTAAAACACGACTCACAACTGATGACGTTCGAACACTCCCGTAACAAGCGCTTCGCTCACGTCCTTTGTTCGAACCACAACGCTGTAAATGCATCACCCACGTACTACAAATACAAATAATCGCCAACAGAACCTAAACACCTAACTTAACCTATACCATATATATGCACAATATGCTAATATATTAGAATATTATTTTATATTTGAGAAAATTCCCGTTTTGAATGAACAGCATGTAAACATTTATGAATGCGTCTGTGGGGTCGACCGCTGGATGGAATGGACTTTGTCTGAGAACTGGTTGACCTAAACACCTAATGCAATCCAAACCTAACTATACCTGGAACAGTAATATATAATAATATTCATTTATCTATGAGAGCAAACATATTTTAATGCACATTACGGTAAAAGTGATCCCTGAAGGGGCAGCCGCTGCTTTAACGAGCCTGGCCAGAGGACAGGTTGTTACAAGGACGGGCACGTTCACTAGTGCACACAAGCGTCAGTATTACAGCGCTTTTCATGTCCCTAAAACACAAGAATTGTTACGGAAATCCAAGTCGCCGGCAGATTGCTCAAAGGAACAAAAAAGAAAATTGATGTGACTTAAATTTGAGGAAGACGACAGCATGCACTCAGGCACTGCTTGCCACGTCTAGTGAGAGGATCGACCTCTGACGACCCTCATCCTCACCCCTGTTACACTCCCCCTTCCCCTCCCCCTCTCCCTCCCCCTCTCCCTCCCCCTCCCCTACACACACACCTGGAAGGACATCTGTTACCTCCTTCCTAATAGGTAAGGAAGGCTTCCTCATCCTTACCTATTGGGTATACGGGGCAGAAAGAACTTTTATGTCTAAAGATAAGGAAATGGGAGCACTTCGCCCCTATGCCCTCCACTAGGTCGCTGGTTGTGATGCCCAACAAGGGAGGGATATGGGTAAGAGAAGGAAATAGAGAGAGAGAGAGAGAGAGAGAGAGAGAGAGAGAGAGAGAGAGAGAGAGAGAGAGAGAGAGAGAGAGAGAGAGAGAGAGAGAGAGAGAGAGAGAGAGAGAGAGAGAGAGAGAGAGAGAGAGAGAGAGAGAGAGAGAGAGAGAGAGAGAGAGAGAGAGAGAGAGAGAGAGAGAGAGAGAGAGAGAGAGAGAGAGAGAGGAGAGAGAGAGAGAGAGAGAGAGAGAGAGAGAGAGAGAGAGAGAGAGAGAGAGAGAGAGAGAGAGAGAGAGAGAGAGAGAGAGAGAGAGAGAGAGAGAGAGAGAGAGAGAGAGAGAGAGAGAGAGAGAGAGAGAGAGAGAGAGAGAGAGAGAGAGAGAGAGAGAGAGAGAGAGAGAGAGAGCAATATTTCACAGCCAGGAAACCAACCGCCCTGACTCATGCCTCACAGTGATGAGTAACTCATCACACTCCATCACTCACTTTCCCCCGCCATGACACACCACGCCCCCCCCCCCCCACCTCTGGCATAACCACCGCCATATATCATAACCAAAGTGTTTAGGTCGCTACAAGCTTCCTCATACCTTGTGTTTGATGAGTTACTAACAACCAGTTGGCAATACTTATAATTACTAATTATTCAACCATTTGAAATTAATTGTAATTAACTCGCTGTAACTAATACTATAACTTGTTAATTTTCAATAATGGTTTCCCATTGTCTGGGGTGATAGACCTGATAGGCTCATCAAAGGACCCATTAGGCCTACGGCTGGCCTTTCCCAGGATGCAACCTAAAACAGATATCTGACTCTCTGGTAGTTATTTACAGTTAGGTGCACAGAGGCATCAGGTTCAAGAAATTCCCCCTCCCCTCCCAAAAAAAAACCCATCTAGTCTTACAGCGGGTATGGAACCCGGGGCCTCTCGGTTGCGACCCGAATGCGCAGACTATTAGGCTATTGGAGTAATATTAAGATGAATATATCTCATGTTTAGACTCATCTCATAACATGACAGCCTTCACTCAAATAAACATTGTAATTAATGTCTGTCTGTCTGAGTTTGGAGGCCAGCGGCTTACGGCTAGTCTCGGCCAACATTACCGAGTGATTGCTGAAGGGTATGTGACCAACATGTCCTTCAACAAGAGTAAAAAGCTGTTGGCAAGCAGCAAGTATTACAGGAGAGAAGTACAGATAGTAGCAGTATTTGTAGTAGTCATCTTAACACAAGCACACAGGGGCCTCGTAGCCTGGTGGATAGCGTGCAGGACTCGTAATTCTGTGGCGCGGGTTCGATTCCCGCACGAGGCAGAAACAAATGGGCAAAAGTTTCTTTCACCCTGAATGCCCCTGTTACCTAGCAGTAAATAGGTACCTGGGAGTTAGTCAGCTGTCACGGGCTGCTTCCTGGGGGTGGAGGCCTGGTCGAGGACCGGGCCGCGGGGACACTAAAGCCCCGAAATCATCTCAAGATGACCTCAAGTAGTTTAATTATACAGTAACAGATATAAGATGAACTAACCGCTTAACAATATATCTAACTGTTGCCAAACCGGTTTCTTTCCCCCTCCAGCAACCTGTGTATATGACAGTATACCAGACCCAGCAGATCCCCACCACCTTGTACCGGACCACCTACAAGACGGTGAACCGGGTCCAGTACAGCACAGAGTACGTGCCCCAGTACCGCACCACCACCGCCTTCCGCACCAGGTACAGCACCAGCACCCTCTACTCCACCACGTACAGCGTGCAGTACGAGCCCACGTACATCACCACCACCGCGTACGTGCCCTCGTACGTCACCACCACGGACGTCTCGTACCAGTACAAGACGAAGACCAAGTACGAGACGCGGTACTCGACGGTGACGCAGCCGCAGTACCTCACATCGACACAGTACCAGACACAGTACCAGACGGAGTACCAGACACGGTATGAACCTAAATATGTCACAGTAACCAGCACTCAACAGGCCTACCAGACTCAGTGCCCTCAGCAGGGCTACGGGGCATCTCAGCTGGGCTACGGGGCATCTCAGCTGGGCTACGGGGCATCTCAGCAGGGTTCTGGGGCATCTCAGCTGGGCTACGGGGCATCTCAGCAGGGCTACGGGGCATCTCAGCAGGGCTACGGGGCATCTCAACAGAGTTCTGGGGCATCTCAACAGGGCTACGGGGCATCTCAACAGAGTTCTGGGGCATCTCAACAGGGATACGGGGCATCTCAACAGGGATACGGGGCATCTCAACAGAGTTCTGGGGCATCTCAACAGGGCTACGGGGCATCTCAACAGAGTTCTGGGGCATCTCAACAGGGATACGGGGCATCTCAGCAGGGCTACGGGGCATCTCAGCAGGGCTACGGGGCATCTCAGCAGGGCTACGGGGCATCTCAACAGAGTTCTGGGGCATCTCAACAGGGATACGGGGCATCTCAACAGGGATACGGGGCATCTCAACAGAGTTCTGGGGCATCTCAACAGGGCTACGGGGCATCTCAACAGGGCTACGGGGCATCTGAACAAGGTTCTGGGGCATCTCAGCAGGGATACGGGGCATCTGAACAGAGTTCTGGGGCATCTCAACAGGGATACGGGGCATCTCAACAGGGATACGGGGCATCTGAACAGAGTTCTGGGGCATCTCAACAGGGATACGGGGCATCTCAACAGGGATACGGGGCATCTCAGCAGAGTTCTGGGGCATCTCAACAGGGATACGGGGCATCTCAACAGGGATACGGGGCATCTCAACAGGGATACGGGGCATCTGAACAGAGTTCTGGGGCATCTCAACAGGGATACGGGGCATCTCAACAGGGATACGGGGCATCTGAACAGAGTTCTGGGGCATCTCAACAGGGATACGGGGCATCTCAACAGGGCTACGGGGCATCTCAGCAAGGCTCTGGGGCATCTCAGCAGGGGTACGGGGCATCTCAGCAAGGGTACGGGGCATCTCAGCAAGGCTCTGGGGCATCTCAGCAAGGCTCTGGGGCATCTCAGCAAGGGTACGGGGCATCTCAGATAACTCCTGCCCCAGTTTACTCAGCTCCAGTACCTGTAGAACAGCCACTTCAGTCCTATAGAGCCCTATATACATCAGCGCCTCAGCAGTCCTATGAAGTTCCATCCCCACAGCAGTCCTATGAAGTTCCATCCCCACAGCAGTCCTATGAAGTTCCCTCCCCACCATCCCCACAGCAGTCCTATGAAGTTCCCTCCCCACAGCAGTCCTATGAAGTTCCCTCCCCACAGCAGTCCTATGAAGTTCCCTCCCCACAGCAGTCCTATGAAGTTCCCTCCCCACAGCAGTCCTATGAAGTTCCTTCCCCACAGCAGTCCTATGAAGTTCCCTCCCCACAGCAGTCCTATGAAGTTCCATCCCCACCATCACCTCAGCAGTCCTATGAAGTTCCATCCCCACCATCACCTCAGCAGTCCTATGAAGTTCCATCCCCACCATCACCTCAGCAGTCCTATGAAGTTCCATCCCCACCATCACCTCAGCAGTCCTATGAAGTTCCATCCCCACCATCACCTCAGCAGTCCTATGAAGTTCCATCCCCACAGCAGTCCTATGAAGTTCCATCCCCACAGCAGTCCTATGAAGTTCCATCCCCACAGCAGTCCTATGAAGTTCCCTCCCCACAGCAGTCCTATGAAGTGCCTCCTATACAGACACCTACTCAGTCCTATGAGCCTCCTTCAGCACCATCACCTCAGCAGTCCTATCAAGCTCCTTCAGTACCCCTACCTCAAGAGTCCTATGAACTCCCATTAGCACCAGCACAACTGGAATCCTATGGAGGTGCTATAGGACCAGCACTTCAGGATATCTATGCCTCGCCAGTCACACCCTCATTTCAAGACTCCTATGAAGTGCCAACTGGACTTGGAACACAGGACTCCTATGCAGGTCCCACGCCACAAGAACTTCAGGAGTCCTACGACACTCCTGCGCCCCCAGCTCCTGTTTACATCAGTCCCCCAGCGCCTCAGGAGACCTATGGTCCTATCCAGCCAGAGATATTATCTGTGCCTCCTGTAGCCGTTCTGGAATCCTATGACGGTTCACAAGAAGAATTTCCACAGGATTCGAACAGCGGCTCCGTACAGGGGATACGGGATTCCTACGACAGTCCTCCACAGGTGCCACCGCCAGAGCAGTCTTATGGCGCCCCGTCGGGGGACTTCGGTCTTGGGCCGGATTCCTTCGGGAGTTTCGTACAGGGCAACGGTGGGGGCTCCTTCGCTGTCTACAGAGACCAGAGGAAGCGGGAACTTCCTCCTGAGGACATCAAGGCGTCGAAGGACCAACAGGCGCAGGAGGCCAGCAGGAAGAAGGACTCCCTTGACGCAGGTCCTCAGCGAAAAAGGCGTACGTGAATAGGCAACGAACCCACGGAAATGAACACAGAAAACGAAAACAGAAGATGGGGACCATACTGGGGGTCGTCGCGACGCTTTAAGGGTCGTCGCGACGCTATAAGAGTCGTCGCGACGCTATAAGGGTCGTCGAGACGTAATGGGGATTGTCACGACGCAATGGGAGTCGTCACTACACAACCAGGGTCGTCACGACGCTACAAGGAATCGTGACGACAGCTGCACTCATCTTCTTGCCTGAATGCACCACCATGTACGCAGGTGAAACGTACATATATGGCCAGGCCCGTCCTCCTGAGGTGGCTAGGCCTTAACCTGAGGTGGCTAGGCCTTAACCTGAGGTGGCTAGGCCTTAACCTGAGGTGGCTAGGCCTTAACCTGAGGTGGCTAGGCCTTAATAACCCCACCACCAAACTATCACGAGTTGGAAAGGGTTATAACTATGAAGTGGTTTTGTCTACCCAAAAAGCAAACGTTGCTTAGCAACCCACATCATCTGATAAGCCCAATAGGGTTTTTATATCCCGGTGAACGTCACTTTTTGCGACGGTCTGTTTTTCCCTAAAGCACCGGGATATTGACGCTATAGAAGCCGTAGCCCAGTGTACGATGGTGGCTCTTCCGCTGCTATTTCTCGTATATTATCACTAATTATTCCTAAAACAAATTACGAAGCCAAAAATGTAAAATATTTGTGTATGTTCTTGTTCGAGACATTCAGATGCCGGAGGCTGGAGGGATGAGTTCTCCTGTAACGCCCTCACCTTCCTCATCACACCCTCATCACCCACTCACACTCCTCATCACGCCCTCATCACTCACTCACATCTCTCACCACTCACTGTTTGTATTCAGTAAGGCCTCTATCAACCATATTTTGCAAATCTTTCTTCATTTGTCAGTAAACTTTTAACAGCACACACACACATATATATATTGTATATATATATATATATATATATATATATATATATATATATATATATATATATATATATATATATAGATATATATATATATATATATATATATATATATATATATATATATATATATATAGATATATATATATATATATATCTTTCATACAGTAATGAAGGATAATGTTGAGGTAATGATCTGTGTTGTATATATTAACAACAACACCCTGCTCATAATAATACAATGGTTCTTCACCAATACAATATATGCTCAATAAATCTTTGTTGTGATAACACACTGTGTTTGTAATTCCCTTTAAACCTCAGCAACAAAACAAACAAAGGTGTTTTAAACATCACCATAAATATAACCTCCAGTTCCACTTGCATAATAACAATAATTTCTGAGAAACTCCAGCACGCAAGATCGATCCCACCTCAGTGCTCCAAAACGTCTCGTACATAAATCACAATATAGTGATTTTCATTGTACATGCGTAACAATGCAGATAAATATAATGGTTTAAATAAATAACCAAACACACATATGCAATGCATGTGTGGGGTTGGGTAATTATTTGTGTTCAACCAGATTATTGTGACTTGTTCCCTGCAATATTGATCTCATTTTGTTTCAGTTTTGTATATAGGACTCTGTAGAAGGCTTAGTGATCTTTGCGAGGAAGCTCCTAGTTATATTCACCCAAACGGATTCATATATATTATTATTAATTATATATATATATATATATATATATATATATATATATATATATATATATATATATATATATATATATATATATATATATATATATATATAGGTATATTAGTATTGTTATTGAGTAAGATTATTATTAGATAATTATTGACAGAAACTCTCAGGACCGCTGAGGTGATAGTACTGAGAGTAGCTCACAGGACCGCTGAGGTGATAGTACTGAGAGTAGCTCACAGGACCGCTGAGGTGATAGTACTGAGAGTAGCTCACAGGACCGCTGAGGTGATAGTACTGAGAGTAGCTCACAGGACCGCTGAGGTGATAGTACTGAGAGTAGCTCACAGGACCGCTGAGGTGATAGTACTGAGAGAAGCTCACAGGACCACTAAGGTGATAGTACTGAGAGTAGCTCACAGGACCGCTGAGGTGATGGTACTGAGAGTAGCTCACAGGACCGCTGAGGTGATGGTACTGAGAGTAGCTCACAGGACCGCTGAGGTCGGGTTGCAGAAGGAACTTCATAGGGATGAACATAAATAATAATTATGAACAGAGTTCATAACTAAATTGAACTCTCCTTGTATATAAACAGAGATAAGGCATACACCTCCCAGTGTATATATTTGTGAAGTATTACCATGGTTTGGTGTCGGACTTAAGGCCCATTAACCTCTGGAGGGTTATAAAGTCCACCACAATACCTTACTGACCATCAAGAAAAGTTTGGTGTCGGACTTAAGGCCTATTAACCTCTGGAGGGTTATTAAGTCCACCACAATACCTTACTGACCATCAAGAAAAGTTTGGTGTCGGACTTAAGGCCTATTAACCTCTGGAGGGTTATTAAGTCCACCACAATACCTTACTGACCATCAAGAAAAGTTTGGTGTCGGACTTAAGGCCCATTAACCTCTGGAGGGTTATAAAGTCCACCACAATACCTTACTGACCATCAAGAAAAGTTTGGTGTCGGACTTAAGGCCTATTAACCTCTGGAGGGTTAGTAAGTCCACCACAATACCTTACTGACCATCAAGAAAAGTTTGGTGTCGGACTTAAGGCCTATTAACCTCTGGAGGGTTAGTAAGTCCACCACAATACCTTACTGACCAACCAGAATCGTTTGGTGTCGGACTTAAGGCCTATTAACCTCTGGAGGGTTAGTAAGTCCACCACAATACCTTACTGACCAACCAGAAACGTTTGGTGTCGGACTTAAGGCCTATTAACCTCTGGAGGGTTACTAAGTCCACCACAATACCTTACTGACCATCAAGAAAAGTTTGGTGTCGGACTTAAGGCCTATTAACCTCTGGAGGGTTAGTAAGTCCACCACAATACCTTACTGACCATCAAGAAAAGTTTGGTGTCGGACTTAAGGCCTATTAACCTCTGGAGGGTTAGTAAGTCCACCACAATACCTTACTGACCATCAAGAAAAGTTTGGTGTCGGACTTAAGGCCTATTAACCTCTGGAGGGTTAGTAAGTCCACCACAATACCTTACTGACCAACCAGAAACGTTTGGTGTCGGACTTAAGGCCTATTAACCTCTGGAGGGTTAGTAAGTCCACCACAATACCTTACTGACCAACCAGAAACGTTTGGTGTCAGACTTAAGGCCTATTAACCTCTGGAGGGTTATAAAGTCCACCACAGTACCTTACTGACCAACCAGAAACGTTTGGTGTCGGACTTAAGGCCTATTAACCTCTGGAGGGTTACTAAGTCCACCACAATACCTTACTGACCAACCAGAAACGTTTGGTGTCAGACTTAAGGACCATTAACCTCTGGAGGGTTACTAAGTCCACCACAATACCTTACTGACCAACCAGAAACGTTTGGTGTCAGACTTAAGGACCATTAACCTCGGGAGGGTTACTAAGTCCACCACAGTACCTTACTGACCAACCAGGAAGTAAAATGTTGTCCTGTACATTAGCCAGGACTCACATACACTGCCAGCATATTCACACCGAGGAAGACTTATTATTCACAGTTCAGTGTGGTGAGTTTATCACAAACTGAACTAATTCATTTAATACTGAATCACTTCAGTATTAAAATTAAAACGTCCTAACACAATAGTATTTTCAGGATAAATAATTATACCTATAATTGAAATAATTATAATAATTAGTGAAATAATAATAATAATAATAATAATAATAATAATAATAATAATAATAATAATAATAATAATAATAATAATTATAGCTAGAATAATTGTAATAAAAATGATAAATTGACGTAAAAGAGATGATTATGGAGTTGTTAGGACTATAATTCTCTCTTCAAAACTGCTGAGTGAGTTTTAACAATGTGTCGACAAGTGGGCTCCAGGGGACCCCTTGGATCGCTTCTTGCAAGGCTGGGGTTCGAACCCTGATGATTCGAGTTGTAGGGGGGGGGGGTGACTGTTCTCTCACAACGTCCATATATCCCTTCCAAGTGCTATAAAGCAACTCTGACTTAATTCTTTCTTCTCACAATTACCTTACCTCACCTCATAATTACCCTACGTTACCATCTCACAATTACCTTACCTCACCTTCTCATAATTACCTCGACGGCTGAAACAGCTGACGAGTGGGAATACTCACACGTCCGCCAACACGCAAACTATCGTACGCCGACGACCGAAACTGTTGTACTGGATAAAAGACTTCTGCAGTGCCACTATGACTCTACAGCCCGTCCTCCTGAGGCTTCCCAACGTCAAGAAACGGCCGTACTAAACTGCCCTTATATCCTAACCTACCAGAGGACCCAAAACAGAAAACGGAACAATATGTCAATTTCCCGACCCGCTACCATTTTCTAGTACGACGAATTTTTGGCCTTAGGGAGACTATACGTCCAAAATGCGACGTTCTATCAGGAGGCCCGGTGGGGCACCAGTGTCACCTTGAGTTGAGATACAAAGATACAATGTAGATATTGATATTTATGGAGATATAGATACAAAGATATCCACGTCACTTGGATTAAGTTAGGCTGTACTGGAGAACAGGAAGTCCCTGAGACACTCAGCTGTCTGGTGAAGGCATCAGTAACAGATTCATGAAAATGATTTTTTGTCAGTGTAAGCCCTTAACAGATTCATCATTTTTGTCAGTGTAAGCCCTTAACAGATTCATAATTTTTGTCAGTGTAAGCCCTAACAGCTTCATCATTTTTGTCAGTGTAAACCCTTAACAGATTCATAATTTTTGTTAGTGTAAGCCCTAACAGTTTCATTATTTTTGTCAGTGTAAGCCCTTAACAGCTTCATAATTTTTGTCAGTGTAAGCCCTAACAGCTTCATCATTTTTGTCAGTGTAAGCCCTTAACAGCTTCATAATTTTTGTCAGTGTA